ATGTGCAGATCATGAGACACCCTGTGCAGTATCAGAGTTGCGTAATAAATGTATCCAGTTTTTCATCCATATCTTTTTATACACACAGAATTTAGTGTTCGAGAAACAGAAATTTCATATAAAAAGCCAAGTTGTTGTCATATATATTCTGAAGTGGTGAAGTTATACAGAGCTTCAGAATTGGAATTCAGTCAAACACACCTAACGCAGGATTATCATAGCGTAATTTACAGGCAGTTGGAGAGCACCACTCGATTCAGCACCAGATCGGTTTGTAGACACAAGTGTGGCACATTTTACAAGGTGGATTTTTTTTTTCAGACAAAATTAAACAACACTTTCTTAGGGACTTGTTTTAGTCTGTTCACTATGGTGAGTAGATTCAGTGTTTTTGTTCTCTTTCACATAAACAGACCTTTGGTTGTTATCCAGACAGGGGACTCTATCTATTGATGTATTGCATTTAATAAGTAGTTACCTTTTTCCTAAATAGCGAATGCCTTATGGCTGTGAGGGGCCTTTTTTAAGAAAAAAAAAGTTTTCTTCAAAAGGTTGAGGTTTTATGTAGCGTCTTGATCACGTTGAGGCAATCAAGAACCCAGAGAAAGAACAGTGGACATTGTCATCAGCATAGATGCCATTGGACTGCTCATCTGGAACCTGGACGTAAACTCTATCACCACTGTGCAGGAGAAGGACAGCACTGCCGGACATCTGATCCAGGAAGCCTTTGTTGTATTCATCATAGGAAAACAAAACTGCCTCGCTATTTTTGTAAAGTGCCACCAGTGCATTAGCACCATTGACATGCATGTGGAAGGCGAAATAATAAAGTCCTGGAATCTGGCAGGTGAACACACCTGTGTGAGGGTCATAGTGGTTCTCTCCATTGTACACAATCTGGCTGAACACAAGTGGAGTTCCTGCACTAGGGTAAGCACTGGTCAGAAGGGCAGTAAAAGCTGACACGGGGGCCTTGACCAGCTCGTGACTAAGAGGCATGACCTCATACTCGTGGGATTTGATGGGCATGCTCTTCTCATGATGGTAAACAATCTGACCTGGTGGACCAGGTGGACCGGGAGGTCCAGCTGGACCTGGTAGACCATCATGACCTCTGGCACCAGGGATTCCTGGAGGACCCTGTGGGCCAGATATTCCTTTGGCAGTGATTCCTGCTGGGCCAGGGGGCCCTGGAAGACCAGGATGACCTTTGGGGCCTGCGGACCCAGCTGGCCCTACTGGCCCAACTGGTCCTCGTGCTCCAGGTATGCCGTTTTCTCCCCTGCTACCTGGAATACCTTGTGGTCCTGGATGACCTTTAACACCTGCAGGGCCGATAGCTCCTGGGATGCCTGGTGCCCCTGTGAAACCTGCCTCACCCTTAGGGCCCTGATGTCCCACTGGACCAGGAGCACCTGGGGGACCTGCTGCCCCTGGAATTCCTGGTTTTCCTGAGAAGCCATGTGCTCCCTGCTCACCCTTTGCCCCTCTTGGACCAGGTGCTCCAACCAAACCAAGATCACCCTTAGGACCTGCTGGACCTGGCTCACCCTGGAATCCCCTAGCACCCTGAGGACCAGCTGGACCAATAGGCCCCATAGCACCTGGCTGACCTGTAAAGCCTGTTGGGCCTGGCTCTCCCTTTTGTCCTGTGGTACCTGGAGAACCAGGTGCACCTCTGTCTCCTGGAATTCCTGGTGCTCCAGTTTTACCAACACCTGGCAGACCAGGAGCTCCGGGCTGTCCAGCTGGACCCTGAGGACCTTTTTGTCCAGTTGGACCAGGAAGACCTGGAGCACCATTCTGACCTGGTTTTCCAGCTGCACCTATACCTGGAGGTCCTGTGTGGCCTTTTAGCCCTGGTGCACCAATAGGACCTGGTGACCCATCTCTACCTGGCAAACCTGGCTTTCCGGGTTCCCCAGGGTATCCAGTTGCACCAACCTTTCCAATTCCAGGTTGACCAGGCTGACCAGGAGGGCCCACAGGACCCATTGGACCAGGGCCACCAGGGCTTCCTGGGATACCGTGACCTGGTTCTCCTTTATGGCCAGGCTCACCAGGAATACCTGGGAGCCCTTTTGAGCCAGGCTCTCCCCTGGGCCCCATTGCACCAGGCAGACCGTGTGGTCCTGGCTTCCCAGGAGCGGAGTGGCCAGCAGGACCTGGGCTGCCAGGGGCTCCTGGTGCTCCTCGTGCTCCCTGGGGTCCTGCAGGTCCTGGAATTCCTCTGTCTCCTGGCAATCCATTAGCACCTGGTTTTCCAGGTCCACCAGGACTTCCAGGCTTTCCAGGTGCAGAGTATCCCGCTGGACCAGGTGGTCCACGAGGCCCCACTGGTCCTGGATGTCCAATTCCACTTGCTCCTGGCTGACCTGGAGGGCCAGGTGGACCTGGGGGACCGGGCTCACCAGGTGCTCCTGGGCTACCTGGAGTACCTGCAACAGCTGCAAAAGAGTAAAATACTGTTAGAGAAAATGTCACTATATTATGGTTTTAACCTCTTTAACTTTAACTGAAACATTTTGTTATCGGACGTAATTGCAATTAATTACAGAATGATTAGTTTTATTGAATAATAAAAGCTTTTTACTGCAGGTATCCTTTCATCAGGCATTCTGTCAATCAGTGTTGAATGATTTAAATTAAATTGATGCTTCTTATAATTCTTATATTTCTCTGACAGCTCTGTACCTTATCAAAATCTCTTGTTGCTGCTGTCTGTGTTTGTATGTTGGTATTGATGTATGATATCATCATGCGTCAGTGACTGCAGGGATTGATCTTATGACCCATTTTCTCTGTGAAGTTGGAGCCCAGATCTGTTATCAGTCTGGTGTGCTCTGTAAATTGAGACACATTTGAATTTAAATGTATAATATGCCCAGTAATGTATCAAAAAGGATTTAATCAGAGGTGCTGACTTCCGTCCATTTTCTGAAAAACTGGTGAAACGTGCAGCACTGAAATACACATAGTGCTTATTTGCAGTATTATATGGGATACAAACAGACAATTTTGTGGCAAACCACAAGTTTGCAGATCTGTATCTGTCTGGCTGTGAAAGTCTAATGTGTAAACAGGAGTTTAAATAAACTGGATGCTTTACTGAGCACATTGTTGATGTAATTTAAAGCCTCTGTTGTAGCAGATAGAATCTGGCTTTCCACTTGACAAGGGCTTAAATTCTTTTTGCAACCTTGCAACAACACAAGCTTGTTTCCCCTTCAATCCTAATGAGCTGTACAGCAGCAGACTAACTACAATTTTATGGTAATTATACAGAAATGTAAATTTGACAAATATGCATTGCTTTGCAAATGTGCCATAGTGAGTGTTGAATTGCGTTCAGGTAAATGGTGAACAGCATCAGTATATTTAGTAGGTGACCTTGTATAAACGTCACGGCTTGTTTGCACCCAGTGCCCCCAGAGTATGACAGTGTAATGCAGTCAGATGTACTTAAAATTCAGACAATCCGCAGACACTCACTTCATCTCTTGCATGTTTTGGACAGTTAAATCCGAAAGTGGACTCGCTCAAATGTATTCTTCAGGATTGTGTGGTTACGGCCTTCTGACGCACCTGCTAAATTATGTGAATAAACGCTGCTGATGTTAAGTGAACCGGCCCATTTCTGTGAAGTGAACTGAGAAGGATAATCACACTTTATATTTTGTTTTAAACTTAGTGTGAAGGTCCTGGAAGCCTTGGCAGGAATGTTGTTTTGAAGTCAGAAATGAGCAGGTTTCTTTAAACCACACGGGCAGAGCAGGCCAGCACTGAGCTCAGGCTGATATTACTGCGGTCAGCAGCCTCACCTACATCGGAAACTGGAGTTTTCCTTCAGAGTGCGTGTGAAGGTTTACGCTGCCACCCCTGAGTGGAGTCTAACCTTGACCCTCCTGAAAAGTTCCTGCTACAGACATTTTATTTAGGACTTCAGTTTGATATGTTGATCATCTCGCAAGTTATGGCAAGTGTCCCTCTTCACTGTGAGAACTGTTTGTTTTGAATCTGTTTGGGTTTAATTTAATACTACGAAGTGGCTTATATGGGTGTGCCCGCTGTGGTTGCATCTGTTCTGGAGACTTACCGGGTCTGGGCCCTATTTGACCCATTTACTGCTTGACTCTGTTTATTTGCTGATGCATACAACAACTAAAACCACAAGTGTTTGATGTTAGGGAGTGGGTGTATTTTAGCGCCTTACACACAGAAATATTCCCAGCTCTTTTGTTTGAGGCAGAACATCATGTCAATTTGCATTCAGACACATGATTTATAGGCTGTTCTAATTCTGGAAGCTGCAGTTTTATATTCTAATTGCCTCAGAACTGGAATGGAAATCTTACTGCATGC